GTAGCAAACAGATTTATGAACGCCGTAAAAACTGGAAGAAGGAATCAATAATGAATACCTAGGGGCTGTAATATTTCCCATCAGCACCACTTGAACACGAAAAGAACATTTGCCCACAGTTTAAGAGAAAAGGCGGAGGAATACAGCAAAGAACGTACAAGATGTACAACGATTTTCAGTTGATCAGAAGGTCTTAGAACAGCCTACTGCCAATCAAGCACTCTGCAGTCTTCTCTAGTGCTACAATTTGAACTTAATCAAAACGGAAAAAATGACAAACCGTTTACCATTTCTTATTTAAAAATGCTAAACGAGTCTGAAAACCTTCTTATTAATAAATACTTACGTGAACCATAAATATTTTTACAGATCAGTACCAATCACTATGCAATCAGGATTGCACAGAGAATAGGCTGTGAGTAGAAACAGAATTCCAAGCCAGAAAAACCAACAAAAAAAAAACCCACAAAAAACACAAAACAAGACAAAGGAAACAAACAGAGACCAAAGACAGAGAAGATGTGCATGTGATATGGAAAGCTAGGGAGATGCTGGCATGAACTAAAGATTCATCTGGAATCACGGCCCCTAGGATGTTTTTTTGCTTTTCCCCTCAAGTTTGAAAGAAATTGTGGCCAATAGTCTGCATCACTTCTCGCAAAGGGACAGACTCACAAATGTAATTCTCTGCTAAGAAACATAAGAAGGTGAGAGTCTCGTAACGCATCCAAAAAGTCCACAGAATCCCTAGGGTAACAGATCTTTAGAGCTAAAGAGTGTGGTCTAACCCCTTCAAAAAGCCCAAGAAAACAAAGTTTAGCGAAGGAACATCTCCCTGGCCCCACGGGCAACTGGCACGGCAGGACAGCAGGCCCCACAGCGCTGCAGAAAGACGCAATTCACAGGAACCCGCTGGGACGCCGGGCCAGAGCTGGCGGAGGGCTCCCGCGCAGCAGGCGGGCATCACCAGCGCCGCAGCACTGCTGTGGGAAAGGGATCACGGGGGGCACTCCTGACATCTTGCACCGCTTCAGCCGAGTGATTTTAAGAAATTTACCGAGCTGACTTTGCCAGCAGCCTATTAGGAGGTTTTGCAAAGCCCATTCTGACAAGCAAGCTGTGAAAGCAGTAACTTCCAAGAAGTGTACCAATAAAAAAGTCACACCATCTTCGGTTGTTTCCTCTGCCTTTCCAATACAGGGGATAATTAGATCAGTGTAAGTCCCCGTACCCCCTAGCAGATGCATCCAGCCCACAAATAACAGATTTATTTGAGCTTTCCTATCACAGCTATATGACAGCATTTGAGCTGCCAGTTTGCTCACAGCTGATGTAGAGTTCCCCACTCCTTCTCTAAGCACTCTTTGAGGAATGACTTACGGTAACAGGGCAGCTGACAATGCTCCATCCTACAGAAAATTTTTCCTCACCACACAATTTTGTTTTCCTTGCATCTTAGTGCCTGTCACTAACTAACAGTCACGGTAATTATCCTTGTATATTAATGCCAAGCTCAACTGAGGGCAAACAAAATAGCACCATATCAGTTTGGGGTGGTGGATGGAGGGGGGCAGGAGGGGAAAAAGAACAGCTGTAAAGGACTAGTGCTTCCCATTGCCACCTACCCTGGTCCCCGACTAAAAACAGCATCAGGGGATTTTGGAATTTAGCTCCTCCATTTTACAGAAAGATGCAAGTTACAAAATTCTGTACAAGAAAATAGTGTCTATTTCATAACTGTGTTACTTTCATGGAAAGATGTTCAAATTTCTATTTCAACTGTCCTCAGACAGTGAGTTTCTTCAATGACTCGCAACATAATATACCTAGAAGCAACACTGCTTTGAAATCTGTCTATTTGACAAAGTTTTAAAGGGGAAATTTCACTAAGAATTAAAAACAGCTTTGTCAAGTGGAAGACAAGGGACATATACCCAGCGAGTTTTAAAAAACATTATATTGTTTGACGTTTTAAAGCTAAATTTTTTAAAACTTCTTTTAAGATTAAAAAGTCACACTCCTAAATAGGGCTAGACTTCAATTAGTGAAAAGTATCCCAAGTCAATATAGCAATACCCATTTTACTCCTTCAGAGCATTCAGCCCAGAACATTTAACACTAAAGAAATACTCTGTCAATGCCATGGTACGAAAGGACATAAGGTGACTCAAATTTATATCATTCTGAAGATATTACAGGTCTTTGAAAGCAGGAGGGGGAGGCGAAAGGGAGGTTATGTTTTTGTTTCATACTTAAAACATTACCTCCCGATTACCTCCCTTCTTAATCAAAAACATTCTGTACATTCCTTCATCTTAGAAAGTAACCATTAAGCAGACCTATCTAGCTCTTAAAAAAAAAAGTGAGGTAATAAGTTGTGAATCAAAGTGTTCCCTTCCAAACATAGCATCTGCAAGGGGAAAGGGGAAAAAAAATAACTTTTCATAGAACTGCAGATAGGTCATCGAATGCCCTAGTTCAACAGGGAGTAACAAGTATGAGCACAGAGATTGAGATTTGTCCTTGTAGCATTTAATCCTACTCATATTGTGCAACTCATCTCAGCACGGTCAGAGCAACCACAGCTCTACTCCCACTAGATGGAAAATTCCACTCAGGCTTAAGTGAAACTCTTCAAGCCCAATTCGAATTCTTCCTGCTAAACCCAGTTTTGTTCAGATAATTGCTCATTCGCTTGCAAGCACAGTAAGTATTCTGTTCATCCTCTCAGAGCAACAAATGAATGCCACTTCATTGTGGGCTGAGCCCTGGAAACAGTCTGAAGATCAGTTATACATTATATTCACCCTTCCTCTCTCCCTACCACATAAGCAGTATCTTTCCTTGACAGTGGTACAGCAATAGAAATTTTAAAATCTCACAGTAAAAATATGGCAATTAACTGTTATAATTGCACTGGGCTACCACGTAATTATATGTATATGTAGATGTTACATAATACAATACTACATTGAGCAATTCAAAGGAACAGTTAATATATACAATTTAATGTTTCGATGCATAAGGCCTTTGGCACCAGGCCTTCTCTTTGATCCTCTGTAAGTGGTTACTTCACAACAGTTTTCATTATCACCTTCTAAAGAACAACTCAATGAACAGGAAAGAATTTTATTTTAGTTCATCTGCTCCTGTAGAATGGAAAATAGGAAGGGAAACAGAAGGGAAATTAGCAACATCTTTATCTTACCCAGGTAAAGCACCCCTATGTATTCCAACTAATACAGTCAGAGTGAACTGACAACAATCATGGTATTCACAGAACAAAGACATAAGAGCTGTACACAGAAATACAGGCAGTAACAGCACACTGAGCTATACCATAAATACATGTATTTCCCCCTGCAGAATCCTTGGTATTGTCCCCTGGCAACCATAAAAAATGCCAATGCTTTGCTAAGTAACCCGACAGAAAATGCATGTCTGTACACCCACATACAATTTTCTGTCTGAAATATGTAAGAATTTTATTCTAGTCTTATACCTGTATCCACAGCACTTACTGCCAAATTCAATGGAAAGAAAATGCAGAAAACATCATCTTTATTTGCCACACCACCCCTCTTTAGGAGCAGAGTTAAAGGAAGGTAGGTCCAATGATACAGGTCTCTTAAGTGTTTCAGGTGCTTCTTTTAAAGATTTTATTGTTTTTTTTCTCCCCACATCTTCTGAATGGATTTAAATAACCCCAACAGAATAAGCTAATTAAGTGTGAAGAGTTATTTTGCTGGTGTACATACCTTGCCAAAAGCAGTGGTCATAATATAAATATAAAGACAAAACTCAAAAGCTGTAACCAAAAGCTTATCAAAAGTTGCCAATCTATTGCCAATATCAGAAACTATGCTGAAACATTAAAAAATAAAAATAATAAATAAATAAGCATTCTCCAGTGTATTAACAAAGGCATAAGAACAGAGCTAATCAATAATGTAACCAAATACAGTCTTAAACATTTCCAAAGAAACATTTAAGATTCAAATACGGCAGAAAACCAAACATTTTTAATTGTTAAATACAGTGCATTTAAAAACCCTTACTACAGTTTTTTTCCTTTAAGAAAAAATGGTAGGTTATTATTTATTCTTGAAAATTCCCAAAAACTTCGTAAGAAGCAAGAGATACATCACATCTGCTATGAAGAATAAGCAGAGGTATTATTATTTTCTAACATAAACGGTAGTTTAAAATAAAAATTGGAAGATCTTAAGATAACAGCAACTTTATCTTGTTTCACAACTAACAGAGTAAGATTAAGTACGGAACTTTCTCACCCTACTGCTCTGAAGCTTTCACACAGATAGCAAGACTTCCTCTCAAATACTGACTATGCTCATTTCTCCTCACCCACCACAGCCCTGGTCCCTTATCAGGCTCCCCATCCCACACCAGTGGCATACAGAATAGCAAAAATATCTGCTGAATATCTTGATGTAACCACCATATAAATGAAAGTTACACTGTATACAAACTTGAAAGGTAATCTTAGAAATATATTAGATATAGAATATATCCATATCTTTATCTAGCTATATATGTATATACTTATATATATGGACGAATATGGAGATATATATGTACGCACACATCTACAAATCTATATATTAGTCATTACATTTGTGTGTTACAAATAATCATTCTGCCGGACTGAAAAACCCATCAGAAGTTTGTACAGCAAATCTTGCATTGCTCAAGTCAGTCCAGCTCATCAGTTTTCATCTACCCTCTCTGCGGCAGCAATTGTGCTGTACAGCATTTGCAGATGAAGGTTTACAAACAAGTCATACAATGGCTTGCATGAGCTGACATTCATTCTAATCCCTGAAAACAAGTATTAATAATATAGGGAAGTCCAACCAATGAATATCAGTTTTTCCTTTAAGAATTAAAGCTGAAGAGAAGCTTAAAAAGGCATTTTATAAAAAAATCCAAAGATTCAAGAAAGAACTCCCATCACATGAAAAAACACAAAATCACCTTACCTTATAATAAATGGGACAAACGGTGCCATGCTCAGTGCTGAGTAAGTGCCATCCATTGGAGATGGATACAGCCTTCCCAGGATTAAAAGCAAAAGGAAAAGGCTTGGATGGATTTTGAACTCTTCAGCTTCACTAAATAAAAAAAAATCGTAAGAAGCATTTGGTGAAAAAAACATCCTCCTTCATGCTAGTCTTGAGACTCTTCCACACACAATACCCTTCTGCATTTCTGGTTCAAGGAGCTATGCCAGGCTGATCATTGCAAGAAAGTGCAAACCCTACTGGGATCAAACGTGGTATCCAGCTCTCCTGCGGCACCACTGGGGACCCCTGTATGAAGGCACTTAAGGCTGTGCTGCCTTCACTTTCCTACACTATCCCAAGCCTCCTTTATTCCTAATAATGGTGAGCTGCCTTTGCTTTTAAATAATATTAAAAACCAGCACAGATAATGTTTCTCTAGGAACTGAGAAAGTTGAGTTACAAAAAGACGGTTAAAAAAAAAGTCTTTTTTTCAGTTTGGAAGGAAATGTGTACTTAGCAAATAGCAGGCTTTATTAAAGAATAGTTCTTGTCATTGACACCAAGTGGCTACTATTCATACTGTAAAAACAATTAGAAATCCCAGTCAAAATCAACACTTCTTGATTTAGTAAATGTTTAATAAGATACAAGCCTTAATCTGCATTGACAAAAGCACTGAAGGCCAACATTTCAGGCAGCAGCTTTCAATCTTTTTCAGTTTAAAGACTTCCCAAAATTTTCCAGTGATGACCCTGTCACCTTTTGAAATGTCAGGTAAAGCAAGACTGCTGCACAGAATATACACGCCATCTTTTCTTAGAGCAGAAACTGCAAAACATGTGACGACTGATGAAACTCCTGCTCCCAAGTATCCACCTCAGGCCCATTAAACAGACAGCTGAACCATGCCTGTAAATCAGCTGCTGAACTTCCAACAGTTTATACCATAGTATTTTAAGAAAAAACAAAGCCAGCACTGGTTTACTTTAAAAGTTCATGAACCTGGGGGTAACAGCATCAGCATCATCCCAAACGATATCATCTGCATTGATCAAATTGGAGCTCTCACCCACCATTTGTGGAGTCCTTAAAAAGAGATCAAGGACCTTCCCCAGAGTCAGTGTGTCACAGGCTGGAAAGTGTTCATTTAGGGTTACATGAGGCCTATGACCCTCTATCACTTAAATATGTTAGGAAGTATCATCGTTAAACATGAGACAGTCAAACATCCAGTTTCTGTCTTTCCCTGAAAAATATACGTTCTTTAACATCTGATTCTAGGAACGCAACAACTACTAATTATTCCACAGTAGTTCATACTCCAGAGACTTACTGCAATGTGCAAAAGTTACAGGAAAAAAGCCTTAGCAAAAGACACTAGTAGAACTGTATCGTTTCAAGAAGCACTGATGAAAAAAACAGCATTAGGGTATATATGACACAACTCAGTTTAACCTTTTCATTGCACTTCATATTTCAGAGCTTTCTCAGATACCATCTTACCTGTTCAAAGTATTGGTTACAACCTCCAACTGCTTGAGAAGGAAAGGATAAAGACTTGGAAACCGAGAGAAGAACTCCCTTCCTGTCATTCTGCAGAAGGGAATGAAGAAGAGTTACAATCAGCATTCTGCAGTAATTAGTTGCACCCAGAATACCAGTTTACTTGGTGGATTTCTGATGCTACAGTGAAGCCAGAGAGCCAGAAGAACCATGCACACATGATGAACTCCTTTCAAACAAGGCACAATGTTTTCATTAAAAATGATGATACAGCGTAGTTTACACAAGTTAAGTAACTCTGTCTGTACGTGTGCATACTAACACTTTGTCAGCTAAACTGGTCGGGCCTTTTTGGGAAAAAAGGATCTTAGCCCCTTAATCACACTAAAAAGAAAAGATACAGCAGCTTAAATCCTGGCACCATTTTAATAACATTCTGGTTGAAGAAGAGAACACTACACTTGCTTTAGTATGGTTCATGTACTAAATAGCTAATAAAATATATTTAATAGACATGTACTAACAGATGCTCATATTTTACTGACACCGAAAAGCATCTCAGAATAGTAACTCACAGAAGATCTGTAAAACACAGCAGCAGAAGTGTCTGACCTTCCATTAGCCCTCTTTACACAGCACTGCTTCCAGCACATGGTAGCGGTGGCATTTCCAGGCCACATTTTCGCTTGTGTAGATGGAGCGACCACATTCAAAACAAAGCAATGTACCAATACCTATTGAACTCATCCCTAGCCAGAATTAGTAAGGCAGCATAGTTCAAGTCACAACAGCAAATCAATCCAAGCTAAAAAGAGGTAAGTAGAATTCTTCTGTATTTGTTTGTTTTATAATCTTTTGATCAGATGAAGGATGGCTTCATGGTTTATAGGAAACCATTTAGCATTGCCTAAACAAGAACCACTTAAATGTTACAGTGGGGAGGTTCTAATTAGACATATATGCTAGGCAGATAAAACAGACTTCCTTTAAAATTAAATAAATAAAAGGACATCCATTTAGAAGAAGAAAGCCAACTGCAGAGTTTGCTTCCCACATGATCAACCAAGATAAATAAGTACATTAGCATGACTCCAATGCAAAGCTTCCAACAAGCTGACAGATCCAGGTCTAGAAAAATAACACGATGAGACGGCAAGATTGAATGTGCGTAAAAATAAGCATACGAAAAAAAAATCATGCAAGAATAAATCAGCACATGGCAAGCATCAGCACAGCTTCTTCCAGCAGTCAGCTAACATAACATGCCTTAGCCACAGGCCACAGAATAAACACAGCAAAACCAGATCGCTAGATGGAAACAAATGTTCAAAGAGGTACAAGAAGCTTTCTCTCGGCACGTAAGAACAGTACAGTGAATTGCTGTAACTAAAAGCAGGACCAAGGATTCTGCAGTAGCTGTTATATCTACAAAAAAGATTTCAGTTGAAAAATTTAGATGGAAGCATTTGAACTGTGAATGAATATAAACTAAAGCACTAATGAGGATGGTTTAAAAACATCAATACTGATAATCACTGGTTATTTAAGCAGAAAACACCCATGTAATTTCTTCTAACAGCTTCTTCAAAACAACTTGAATTTTTGCACATACATTATGTAGCAAGCTGAAGATACAAAGCCAGAGACAGCACAAAACATAAGATCTAAGTAAGTGTACCAAGTCAAACAGCCCATCTTACTGAGTTTTCACATGTAAAACATTAAGAACTCAGTATTTTAAAAAAAATAAAAATAAATCAATCCGAAAATGCTGTGACACCTCCACCTCTTGTGCCACAGAGCACATCAAGCAAAAGCAGAATTGGGATTAAGTTTCCTATGGAATGGAGGGCCGCTGGTTAGAGACTTGAGAGGACTACATGCAAGTAGTATCTCACACAAGTATTTTTAACAGGGCCATTTTTAACGTATTAAAAATTCAGTAGCCAAGTTTGAATCAATATTAAATAATGGAACTGAATATCCTTAGAAAGCCTTGAATTTCTTTGTAATTAGTGTGGTTTCATGAATCTTTTTGACAGGGAAAGAAAACGATAACTACTGAAGTGGGCAACTTACACAACCACCCACTTGGTTTACTGCTCTGCAGGTTACATGAGGGGAGAGGGCAGTCTAATCAAAGCCATTAATCAGCAGTATCTGCAGAAAAGATGCCTGAAGGCACTTTCAGAAAAAGAGAGACACAACTGCCTGAGCAGACTGGCTGTCGAGGGATGATTTTAAAGGGCCTCCAGTTCAGAGAGGAAAGAAGAAAGACTACACATTAGCAGAAGGGCTGCAAAATGAAAAGGTGTTCTCAAAAATACAGAGCACTGATTTAAGTGGGAATCCACTACCTAGGGATGTCAATGCAGGGAGATGAGCAACTGGAGAATAAGCAGAAAGCAAAACAGCCAGATAGAGTAAAACACGGAGGTATTCAGTTGTTTCATTTTTGATGACCGACCATGCTTGTTGCTCCTGGAAACGTGTACACATTATTAGGCACGCACAAGTATTTGTGTACAGTAACTGAGACTGGAACAACTAAAAAATGCAATGGTTCTGCTTTTCAAAAATGTTCATGTCACTAAGCCAGATATTTCCTATTAATTTCATCAAAAACTATACTGCTTTGAAAAATTAATACTAACACTAAGATTTGGCTCATGCATGTTAGTGATATAAAAGAAACTCATGCAATGTGCATACACACACAAATGCGAGTTCGGCTTTGTAATTAATAAGCTACCCACATATCTTTAAAAGAAGTTAAGCCCTTGACATACCTATAAAGGAATATATCAACTAAATGCAGACTAAAACAATCCAAAAATCACTGCTAACAGTTTTCATGGAACAAACTTTTTCCTCTTTTCTAAAATATATCTGACAAGGAATGACAGGTTTAAATTAAAAACATGGATAACTATCTTTCCATTAGTCACTGACACAGTTCAAACAGAGATTTTTGGCAACGTAGCTACCATAATTAAATCCTTAAAACCAACATTTTGCAGATCACAGGATTTTACATCTACTCACCCTAAAACATGTTTGTAAGAGAAGTAACTGGGAAGAGCCTTAAGACACTAGTATTTTCCCCATGTCCAGCTGAAATTATTTTTATATTGCTTCAGAGCTCTTCCTTGACAGTATGTTCAACCACAGGCTCTGTAATAGTATTTTCTTTTTTCCTGTTAGTAACCCAAAGTAGCACAATTTCACAATCCAGAATTTCAAGTGGGATTACTGAGACCTAAACACTGGACTACTGGAAGGTTATTTACTGAAATAGGAAGTACGGTAATGAAACAGAGAAGTTACCAGTGGGCTGATGATGCTTACAATAAAATCCCTCTCCCCAGTGTAAAATGTCATTTAAGTATATAATTAAAGTGATGCTTAATGTCAAAAGGTTGAGAGATAACCTAATGGAAGCACTCGTATCCTCCTAAATTCACTGGTAAAAATAATCTGTAAAACTGTATACACACAGAATACTGTGGTACAAAAATAGGAAGATGCAATGTTTACACTTCAGATACTTTGCAGTTTAACAATGTTAATGCTCTGCCATATGCAAGCAATTCTGCAGAAAAGCCAGATGACTAAATTAGAGTACAACCCATTCGCAAAAGGTTCCATTTTGATGGCTAGAGACAGCAGTCATGTTTGGCAATTTTCAGAAGAAATACTGATGAAGAGTATTTATGTGGAAAGGGAGACATGCATGAGTTTCTTTCCCAGTTTCACTCAGGTTTCCCACCAGAACAGATGTTCCATTAACAAAAAACAGTCATACACAGGTATCTTCTGTACCATGCCATACAGAATCAACCTACACCCACTACTCCTAACTATTCTCTGCATGCCCTTGAGTCAAACAAACTCTTTCACTTTTGTCTGCTCCAGAGTCTATTTAAGAGGGAAAGAAGGTTGTGATGACAGCAGGAAAGACATTTCACTATAGAGCTCATACAAATCAGCAAGAAGTTACGCTGAAGGCATGTGACGCTACAAAGGACAGAACATAATTCCTAGCAGCAAGCATTTGGAAGACAACAGTGAATCACAGCTAAGTTACCAAAAATCAACATCTAGTTGTAGTAGTAAAAATTAAACAAAAAAACAACAAAAAAAACCCCACACAAGAAAACCCAAACATAACTGAAAGCAGACTGTAAATCTATAAAACTTTAAGGAAAAGTCTATTTTAAGCATGAACAAGAATACAGTTTACAGTGTTGATAAAATTTCTTTAGGAAAAATGCAAAAATCAGTTTTACTTTTCTCTGAAATAACCTAGAACAGAAGCCCTTATTAGACACTTGATTGTCAGTAGTTCTTCCATTCATTTAGCACTGGTTCTTTGGCTTCATCACTTTTCAGATTAGAACCTTGGGTGGCTTAAAGTAAGCTAAAAATCGTGTACTTACAAGTTTTCATTTCATCTGCTTTGCTTGTGAAGATATTCAGTAATCATCAAACTTCCAGAACCAAATTGATAAGTGCTGCTGAAAACTGTGACATCTCCGGTCATTATACATTATGTTTGTCCGAGTAGCAACTTGATGCCCCTTGATGCAGGGGTTAGTATCCATGTCTATGTAACTAGTCTCTTTCTAAATAAATATTCCATCTTTCTGCACAATGAGTGTGTGAATTATATAGGTGCATTTAAAAAAATACATTTAAGCATAAAACCATGGATGTTGCAGTGTTCTTTTTTAAGCTGTGCTGCACACTTAAGAGAATACTCTAGGAGATCAAAATTCTGCTGTGACACTGGGGCATACGTATCATTTTACTGTGACATGTGTCAAAGATTACCTGCTTCTGTTCTTTCACTTATTTTTCAGAAGAACTGAAGGCTTTATAACCTTGCATGATGCTTTTAGTAACTGACATGTTAAAGAAAATATGCAGTGAATATGTTCGTATTTGAGTATAGGATAGGTGAGATTTAGAGACAACGAATCTGCTGAGGGCAGCAAGGGTCTCTTGTGCTCTTTTTGAACACAAATATTGCTAACATCTCAGGTCAGATGACAAATGCATGGCCAGATCTGTGACAGGGAAAAAAACAG